TGGGAAACGATTTGGGACTTGGGTCTTACCCTACTCACGCTCCCCGACCGACCAACCAGGATTGGGAATAGCGTCAGTCGCAACACAACCCCCGACTTAACACTTGTTAAAAAAGCTTACGCAGTTACGTGGGAAAACACTGAACGACATTTAGGAAGCGACCATTATCTGCTTTTCATCAACGTACCCACTAAAAGCTCGAAAAAAAAAACAAAATTCACTACTAAACACACGAAATAGGATGTCTTTCGATTCCTGAGAGACAAGCGCTTAACCACCACCATCGAAGATCTCCATGAGTGTACTACCAATCTCACTAATGATGCTAAACGGGCTACATGCGAAACCCCAATAGAGCGGGACGGCCCCGTCCCGGACTCAAAGCTTGTGCACCTTTGAGAAGCACAAGCCAGCTTACATCACCGATGGCTCCGCCAAAAGCACAATCGAAAGTTAAACGCCGACTTGCGCAAAAGGACAGGGACATCGAGGAGTACTAAAAAAACTTGGTCAAACACAATGACATCAGCTATGCGACAGGCTCAATGGTCAGCTAGGAAATAAAAACAGCTGGCATCTCCTCAGGCACTTATTGTATCCTGAGCAGACTAAAAGCACGTCGCGCAATAAAATGCATCAGCTCGTTTACAAATACACGGGCACCAGCCATGAATTAGTGGAAGAACTGAAAAACATGTATTTAAACACACAGGTGAACTCGTCACAAGTGACTGAATACTCCGGAAATACTAACCATGAGCTAGATCGAGATATAACCAAGGTGGAAATACGTGCTGTTTTGAATAATATTCGTACAACGGCTTCCCCAGGAGAGGATCAAATTTCCAACAAAATATTGTGTAACCTAGACCATAAGTCTATTACAGCAATTACTTACCTTATGAACAAACATTGGGCGTCTGGGACACTACCACTAAGTTGGAAATATGCTCGAGTAATATTTATTCCCAAGCCGGGCAAGACTGAATCTGGAGAATTTTAGGCCTATTTCCCTTACATCATGTTTAGGGAAAGTAATGAAACATGCAATTCTACGACGACTAACAGCTTATGCAGGGTCGAGGGACCTGCTACCCCCCACGATGGTGGGATTCCGCCAGCAATTATCCACACAAGATATTATGCTGCAAGTTCACAATGATATATTAAATCCTAGAAACACAGCGGCTACCAGGACCATCCTGGGCCTGGATATCACTAAAGCATTTGATAATGTGTCCCATGCTGCTGTACTAGACAACTTTCCCAAATCAACGTCGGCAGTCGCCCTTACAATTATAACTTTTCTGCATGAACGCATGGCTGATCTAGCCATTGGCGACCTAAAAAGCGACAAAATCACCCTTGGAACACGGGGCACTCCACAAAGAGCCCTGTTATCACCATTCCTCTTTAACATTACGATGCATGGCCTGTCCGTTCTCTTGGATCAGATCCGACACATTAGGCACTCGCTTTATGCTGATGATATTACCATGTGGACCTGCACAGGCTCAGATGGGGAAATCTGTGACGCGTTGCAGACAGCCGCCGACACTGTACAGGAGTACGTAAAGAAAGTGGGCCTTAGTGGTTCTCCCAACAAATCCGAGCTCTTAGTAATCAGAACCAAAAACAAGAAGGATGACCCCTACAGTGGAGCACGCTCCGCGATCAATATCATAGTAAATAAGAACGTTGTCCCCACTGTTCGCACAATAAGGGTTTTAGGAATGCTCATCCAGCATAATACTCATAACACAGAAGCTGTCAACAAGTTACAGGCATCCGTTCAGCAAACGACTAGGCTTCCTAAGAAGAGTGGCAACGAAAAATCAGGGAATGAAGGAATCCGACCTATGCAAATTAATCCACTCTTTTGTAATCAGTCGAGTCACCTACTCGTTCCCCTACTATCAACTCAGAAAGAATGGTCTAGAAAAACTAAACTCTCTCATTAGACAAACATATAAACGTGCCCTAGGACTTCCCAGATACGCAAGCACAGAAAAACTACTGCGCCTTGGTATCCACAACACAGTGGAGGAACTAATAGAAGGGCATTTGACGGCCCAAAAAGAAAGGCTCTCACGAACCAAGGCAGGTTTACACATACACAACCGTCTCGGACGACGCACTAGTTGCATGCTCAACAACAAGGTTTTCTTGCCAGCGATGACTCGTGCAGACATTATAATCAAACCCCTGCCCAAAAATATGCTGGCAGGAATACATGACGAGAGACGAAAGGCAAGAGCAGAAAACCTCGCAAAACAAATTCAGGATCGCCCAAATGTTCTGTATGTTGACGCCTCCTCGACAAGCGAGAGACCGTTACACCATGTGCGCGGTGACCGGCAGTGAGGAACTTATTACTGAAGCCACCGTAAAAACGGCCTCAGCATTAGAAGCAGAAGAAGACGCCATCGCGCTGGCCACCTCGATTCCGGCTACCAATTCCATCCTGAGTGATTCGAAAACAGCGCTGATGAGTTGTACGATGGGCTGTGTTGGGCTGAAAGCGGCCAACATTATTAAAAATAAGAAACGGGACATTAAAATACAACTTATATGGGTGCCCGCTCACGCGGGGAATCCAGGGAATGAGGCGGCTTACCACGTAGCCGGAGGTTTAATCAACCGGGACGTGGACCCCTCCACCCTGGACTTCCCGCATGAAGGGATCACCACGTATAAAGAAATTACAGCGTATTACCGAGAGAACCGCAAGACATACGCGGCCCCACAGGCAGATATGTCAAGGAACAGGCCATGATCTGGAGGCAAATCCAAACAGATTCCTTGCCCAGCCCTCATTGGCTGTCTAAAATTTATCCAGAAGAGATTACACCTAACTGCCGACATTGCAGCTGCGTAAAAGCTACCCAAAATCACATTCTTTGGGAATGCGAGGGTAACCCCCACCAAGAACAATATTGCCAGCTTCCTCCCTCGAGGCGTGGGAGTCGCTACTGTCGTCAGCTGACTACCATATTCAGGCAGAAGTGGTCAACTGGGCCGAAACGGTCGTGGCAAGCTTTCGGCCACCACCCTTACAACCACCGGCAAATTAAGTTTACCGACCTTGCTATGCCTTCAATAAATTTGTTTCTCTCTCTATTAGCTTTCGGTTCAGTTTTTGTGCCTTCCATCGGGTTTATTCTTTGTGCCTTTCATCAAAGTAGCCACGCCTGCTTGACATCAATCAGATGAACAAGCCTACCTTAAGTCTACCTCAAGGTCGGTGGAAATTTTTTTGTGGATGACTCCACGTTGCTCTTGATTCTTTTGCACCAGTCTGCCAAGTCTCTGGGGGTGAGTGCCAAGTCTCTGGGTAACCAGTATCATAAGATGCACCGGCGATGGCGGGATCTTGGTGGCGCTTCTGGCGTTGCTGCTCCTCAGATGTCAATATGCGGGAGAAATTTCAGGCACGCTTCTGCGTGGGCAGCAGTTTCAGACAGGGGTGTACGTTCTATAGCATCGGCACTATACAAATAAATAGAGTCCATGGTGGAGGATGACTCACGCGCATGATACAGAAAGAGAAAAATCCCGTGGTGGCCTGCATGGCAGTATTGTAGGCATATGTGATAAATGGGAGCACATGGTCGCAATCGCTGTCGTCAGGACGTGACGTACATGGCCAACATGTCACCAGAGGTTCAATTGAAAGGTTCAGTTGTCTCAGTAGTCTGCGGGTAATATGCAGCTGTTGTGCGGTGAATGATACAGCATTTTTAGAAGAGAGATTACATTTACGTCGAAGAGAAACACTCGGCCTTGGTCACTGAGTAATTCACATGAGGTCACGTGGCGCAGGATTAGCGAGGTAACATTGTGTGCAGTAGCACTATAGGTAGAGATGAAACTTCTACATCACGATGGCCATGATTACCCACTGGTTGCTGCCAGAAGGGCTCGGCTAAAAGATCATAAATATTGATTTTTACACAATAAAATACGAGCTTTGGACAAGACAAAGGTCTCCCTGGCGCAGCTGAATGGTGAGGAAGATCCTTGCGACGTTGGCACGCGAAGCAGGAGCGTACATAGTGACGAACGAAGGGAGCTTTACGCCGCGCTTGAAGGCATGGGCGTTCCAAAGTTTTAAGGTGAGCTTGCGCGGCCGTACTGTGGGTGATCGTTAAGCGCCGCCCTTATGCCCGAGCGGAAATGAAGAGAAAGAACGAGCTAACATTTTCAACTGTGCGTAGGGTAATTACGGTGGCATAAAAGTCCATCATGAATGGTCGAGAAGTGTGGTTGGCGACGCAATGACCGATTGGCAGGAGGGGTCGATGACATATACCGAAAGTTGAACGTGAAAACAACTAGGGGTTCATTCTTCTGCTCTAAACCATGTTCGCCACACAGAAGGGAGAACTCGACTAACGGCGTAACGGAGAATTGTCAAGCCATGTAGTGGGGAGCGAGACAAGGCGCCTGCGTTTGAGCGTTTTCCATCAGAGTGGTAGAGCAGGCTAATTTTGTACTCTTGTAGCTGAAGCACCCATCGAGCGAGGCCACCTGAAGGTTCTGCATATGAAAAAAGCCAGTTAACGGTGGCTCGATACACACACACACACACACACACACACACACACACACACACACACACACACACACACATACACACACACACACACACACACACACACACACACACACACACACACACACACACACACACACACACACACACACATATATATATATATATATATATATATATATATATATATATATATAGTGTGTGTGTGTGTGTGTGTGTGTGTACGGTACATGACTGTATAAATGCTATTGCAGTTAAAAAATACAGGTGAGGGAATGAGAAAGATGTCAGAATGAGATAAGAAATAAAAAGAAACTTTTTGATCAAGTCTAGGTTGTGGGGACGTTTTCAATAAGGCGATGCGAAAGCTATGAAGTATGATGACAATACGGTTTATTATGCGCCAGATGATTTACAAGATGCCACTGAGTAGATTAGGGCTTACCTTTCAGGAGGAATCCCTGGTTCTCGCAGAGGGCTTTAAACCCCTCTGTTGTCAAAGCTCCTCCAACCACAATCTCTTCGGGGCAGTCTGGGTGAGTGAGACCAGAAGTACACTCCGGGATATCGACACTGGGAAGAGTGATGTGCATTAGCATTCGAGTGCTCATTTGTAGGGCTGCTTACAGCAGGCGTGAATTGCAGCCGCTGCACAAGAAGGTAAGCGCAAGTTACTTATGAACGGAATTGATATGCTGGGCGATTTCATGATAGGCATGAGATGTGTGTCATGTAACATTAGTGTATACATACTACGCTCATGATGCGCTCGCGGCCATTTCGCTAGCTTCGCATGTACCAAACTCGGTACTGTGCGATGCGAACGAGCGACATAGATAAACGACACATGGAAACATGATAATCACTACATGCGTGTCAGGTAACAACATCACGACATGCCACACTGATGATGCTCTCGCCGCCGTTTCGCTGGCTTCACATATGCGCATTGCGGTATTACGTGACGCCAATGGATGACGAAGGCATGTAAGCGGTGTAAACATGATAGCCATGAGATGCGTGTCATGTGAGAACATGACTACATGCCACAGTCAAGGCGCCAATACATTTTGACGTGACGCGGTCCGCGTGCTCGCCGGCGTTCATTTCGTCGCGTCACGCCGGCGATGCCAAGCCAGGCGCCGATCCTGCCATATACTCGCAGGCGCGAGCCGCGCTGCGTTGCTATGACACATGCGCGTTTAAGCGCGTCCGGCATCCCTCCGTCACGAAGAGAGGGAGACGCAGTGTTGTCTGCGTAACGCATCAGCGCTAAATGCAGCTTGTCGCATTTCGCGCCGGTTGCCGTCGGGCCGGGCCGATGGACGCTGGTCGCGCCTCGCGTCAGAGTATAGAATGCTTGCGTTTCGCTAACGTAGCGTCGCTGTGCCCAGCGAGCGCGCGCGTCATAGCTACATTGGAGTGTATTGGGCCCTTCTTGATGCGCTAGCGGCCGTTTTGCTAGCTCCACATATACCAAATTCGGTACGTGACGTCAATGTAAAACGAAATATATGACTATTACAAACATGATAATGCTGACACGCTCTGTCATGTAAGAACATGACCACCGACTACGCTCATAGCGCTCTCGTGACTGTCTCGCTAGCTCTATATTCAATAAATGTGGTATCACATGAAGTGAATAGATGACAAAGATAAAAGACACATCCAAACATGTTGGTTACGACACGGAAGTCATGCACAGTATTATGTACCTCCACCTCGTAACGTTGTGCTGATTTTAAGGTGACTTATCAACATATATCATTCATTCTTCGCATATCATCGATTCCCACTGTACATGGGATCTGCCATTCCTTTTTAAGGTAAGGAAAGTATCTTTCTAGGTTTTCAGATAAAAAGAGCGTGCGTTAAGTTCAAGAGAATCTCTTGTAATTTTATGTAGGTCAAAAAACATTTATTTCAATATATTTGGCCAAATGAGGAAAGGAAAGTGTATAAAATGAGCGCGTTCTAAAGCTCTTCTCATTCACCATTGCTATTAGGGCTCATCGGTTTATGAAACCGGATGTCATGGTATTGGTTGGTATGTGGGGTTTAACGTCCCAAAACCACTATATGATTATGAGAGACGCCGTAGTGGAGGGCTCCGGAAATTTAGACCACCTGGGGTTCTTTAACGTGCACCCAAATCTGAGCACACGGGCCTACAACATTTCCGCCTCCATCGGAAATGCAGCCGCCGCAGCCGGGATTCGAACCCGCGCCCTGCGGGTCAGCAGCCGAGTACCTTAGCCACTAGACCACCGCGGCGGGGCCCGGATGTCATCAAGGGCCTGTGTTTGTAAACAGTGAAAGGATCTATAGTGTAGTGTTTCTTTTGTGTGCGCTGAAATGCCGCCAGTAAATTGGGCCATGTAAGCTCGAGTGCACTTACTTCCATATTCCCGTGGGAAGAGAGTGTGCCTTATTCATTTCATCATGCGTGGCATCGGTATCCTCAAAACTTGAACGCATAACTTCTTTTTTTTCACACAATTGTGTTTTATGCTGGGGTCTCCCACGACTCCGATAACGAGTTTCTGTCACAGACGAGGCATTGTGAACTATATACTGTAGGCATTGATTAAGCACACCTGCTCTCCTTACACATATTCATCATCATGAGTGGTCGTCATCTTCATCTGCAGTGGGGACTTGGCTTGTCTGAGTTCTGTGCCTTGGGCGTGGTCGCTTCATCGTGTCTTCCGGGCCTAATAATGGTTGCCTTCACCGTTACATCACAAGTGGTGGAGTGTGCTCTACGATCTTCCGTCCTCTCCCAGCCCGACCTACCTCCTGGAGATCCGCTCAGGTCGTCGTTTGTGCCAGGTGTCCGGTAACATGCCTCAGGACGAGCCAACCGGCACTTCTGCGTCTACTTCCACGGCCCCGGCTACCGCGGCCTATCCATCGTGGATTATCACCGCGCACCAGCGTGAGCCGCCCACGTTCGCCGGACTTCGAGTTGAAGACGTGGAGGATTGGTTAGACCAGTTCAATCGAGCGAGTTCCACTAACAACTGGGATGATCCTACCAAGCTTCGCCGTGTTTTTTTCTATCTGACAGGCGTAGCAAAAACATGGTTTTTCAATCATGAAACGGACATTACGGACGACACGTTTCAAGCAACAGCTTCGCCAGATTTTCGGCACCCCGGGGGTTCATTGAGCTCTCGCGAAGAAGACACTGGATGCTCGCAAGCAACAATGCGGTGAGTCTTACACATCCTACATAGAGGATGTGCTTGCTCTCTGTCACCGTTTCAAAACGTCCATGTCTGAATCAGAGCGAGTTCGTCATATATCGAAAGGGATCGGCACGGTCGCCTTCAATGCCTTGGTCATTCAAAACCCGACTACAGTCGCTGACGTTGTTGCCACGTGCCAACGCCTAGAGGAACTTGAATCCCAACGGTTACCGCCGGACAGTGCTGAAAACATCACCACGACTGATGCCTCATTGCGTGCCATAATCCGGGCGATTATACTGGAAGAGCTGCAATCGTTCGGCCTCTCAATGACGCAGAGTCCGCCTCCCGCCTCCAACACTGTTTTGCGCGACGTTATCAAAGAGGAGTTGGCGTCCATGACTGGGCCAGCGTATGTAGACGCTCCAGTACCTCGACCCCAGCCGACGTACGCACAAGTCATCGCTGGCTCACCACCCGTCGTACAACCGATGCCCGCACACTCGACGCCTGTCCCGCTGGCTTCGTTGACTCTGAGTGCGCCTAGCCAACCCTTTCACCCACCGTGGTGACCACCTCGTCCAATCTGTTGTTACTGCGGCTATCGGGGCCACATTGCACGCGTCTGTCGGAAGCGTCAGCTGGACGAACGTCGTGGATTCGACACCTACGGACGGGATGATGCGACAAGCTGGTACGCTTTCCAACGTCGTCCTTTTGATCCGCCGATACGTCGCTCAACGTCTCCAACCGCGACATCTGAGCCAACCAGTTCTTACCGCTCTACTAGACGCCGCTCACCCTCACCCCTCCACCGCTCCACGTCTTCCATTGCGACCTGTCTCGCAATTCACCAACAAACGCCCGGAAAACTAACCTCTGCAGCTTTTGGAGGAAAAGCTGCATCGAACGAAAAGACAGAAATTTCCCCAGTGCGTCCACATAATACGATATCTGTTTTATTAGAAGGTGTGTACGTGGACGCTTTAATAGACACTGCTGCTTGTTTATCTGTGATTGATCGTTCTTTGTGCTCACGTCGGCGAAAAGTCACCACCCCTTATGATGGACCTACACTGCACGCTGCTCAACGGGACGCCATTAGACCTGCCGCTATGTGCACCGCTCGTGTTTTCATAGCTGGTCTTCTTCATTTTGTGCAATTTGCTGTGCTGAGTTCGTGTGCCTACCAGCTTATATTAGGCTGGGATTTTCTGTCTACGGCAAACGCTGCCATCTGCTGTCGAGAAAATGTTGTTCATATGATGGAAACTGACTATGCCCTGTATGCGGATGACAAGCCCGTTCACTTGCTCGCTGCTGAAGATACCGAGCTACCACCTGGTCATCAGCGGATAGTTGCCATAACTTCTAATGTGATCGACTCTGGTGACGTGTTTGTCCAACCATCTGCACGCTGTCTCACAAGAGGTATAGCCCTTGCCTCAGGTCTAGCGCGGTTCCACAATGGCTCCGGACTTCTCTACGCTACAAACCAGACTTCTGAGAAAAATCTCGTTTCTAAAGGCACCACAATGGCTTGCGTTTCTAAATCTCAACCTTTCTCTATTGTCCCGCTTATGCCAGCGTGTTCTGACCTTCCTTCTATTGGACGTTCATCAAGCGTTTCTGTTCTTGCTGCGACTATTAGTCCAGAACTGACCTCTTCAGAGACAGATGAGTTGCTTGCCTTGCTACAAAAGCATAGGAGATTGTTTGATGCCCATTCCTCATCTCTGGGATAGACGTCCATTATTAGGAATCGTATCCAGACCGATGGCACTTCCATGGTACGCCGTCAACCATATCGCGTCTCTTCGTCCGAGCGTTAGATCATTGAACAAAATGTAGCCGATATGCTGCAACGGAACGTTATACGTCACTCCGCGAGTCCTTGGTCATCCCCTGTTGTTTTAGTAAGAAAAAAAAGATGGCTCCGTGCGATTTTGCGTGGACTACAGAGCACTTAATAAGATTACCCACAAGGATGTTTACCCCATGCCGCGCATAGACGATGCTTTGGATTCACTGCAAGGTGCTGAGTACTTCTCAAGCCTAGACCTGCGTTCAGGTTACCGGCAAATACCCATGCACGAGGATGGCAAAGAAAAGACAGCGTTTTCAACAGCAGATGGGCTGTACGAATTCAACGTCATGCCATTCGGCCTTTGTAATGCTCCAGCAACATTCGAGCTGACGATCGACAGTGTTTTACGATGCTTGAAGTGGAAGACTTGCTTGTGCTATTTAGACGATATCGTTATTTTCTCGTCAACCTTCCCTCAGCACTTGCAATGACTGGACGAAGTTCTTACGTGCCTTGCAAACGCAGGCCTTCAGCTGAACACCAAGAAGTGCCGTTTTGCGAGCAAGACGATT